TGTGAGCGGCAGCATGTATGTGAGCGGCAGCATGTATGTGAGCGGCAGCATGTATGTGAGCGGCAGCATGTATGTGAGCGGCAGCATGTATGTGAGCGGCAGCATGTATGTGAGCGGCAGCATGTATGTGAGCGGCAGCATGTATGTGAGCGGCAGCATGTATGTGAGCGGCAGCATGTATGTGAGCGGCAGCATGTATGTGAGCGGCAGCATGTATGTGAGCGGCAGCATGTATGTGAGCGGCAGCATGTATGTGAGCGGCAGCATGTATGTGAGCGGCAGCATGTATGTGAGCGGCAGCATGTATGTGAGCGGCAGCATGTATGTGAGCGGCAGCATGTATGTGAGCGGCAGCATGTATGTGAGCGGCAGCATGTATGTGAGCGGCAGCATGTATGTGAGCGGCAGCATGTATGTGAGCGGCAGCATGTATGTGAGCGGCAGCATGTATGTGAGCGGCAGCATGTATGTGAGCGGCAGCATGTATGTGAGCGGCAGCATGTATGTGAGCGGCAGCATGTATGTGAGCGGCAGCATGTATGTGAGCGGCAGCATGTATGTGAGCGGCAGCATGTATGTGAGCGGCAGCATGTATGTGAGCGGCAGCATGTATGTGAGCGGCAGCATGTATGTGAGCGGCAGCATGTATGTGAGCGGCAGCATGTATGTGAGCGGCAGCATGTATGTGAGCGGCAGCATGTATGTGAGCGGCAGCATGTATGTGAGCGGCAGCATGTATGTGAGCGGCAGCATGTATGTGAGCGGCAGCATGTATGTGAGCGGCAGCATGTATGTGAGCGGCAGCATGTATGTGAGCGGCAGCATGTATGTGAGCGGCAGCATGTATGTGAGCGGCAGCATGTATGTGAGCGGCAGCATGTATGTGAGCGGCAGCATGTATGTGAGCGGCAGCATGTATGTGAGCGGCAGCATGTATGTGAGCGGCAGCATGTATGTGAGCGGCAGCATGTATGTGAGCGGCAGCATGTATGTGAGCGGCAGCATGTATGTGAGCGGCAGCATGTATGTGAGCGGCAGCATGTATGTGAGCGGCAGCATGTATGTGAGCGGCAGCATGTATGTGAGCGGCAGCATGTATGTGAGCGGCAGCATGTATGTGAGCGGCAGCATGTATGTGAGCGGCAGCATGTATGTGAGCGGCAGCATGTATGTGAGCGGCAGCATGTATGTGAGCGGCAGCATGTATGTGAGCGGCAGCATGTATGTGAGCGGCAGCATGTATGTGAGCGGCAGCATGTATGTGAGCGGCAGCATGTATGTGAGCGGCAGCATGTATGTGAGCGGCAGCATGTATGTGAGCGGCAGCATGTATGTGAGCGGCAGCATGTATGTGAGCGGCAGCATGTATGTGAGCGGCAGCATGTATGTGAGCGGCAGCATGTATGTGAGCGGCAGCATGTATGTGAGCGGCAGCATGTATGTGAGCGGCAGCATGTATGTGAGCGGCAGCATGTATGTGAGCGGCAGCATGTATGTGAGCGGCAGCATGTATGTGAGCGGCAGCAGTATGTGAGCGGCAGCATGTATGTGAGCGGGCCAGCAATGTATGTGAGCGGCAGCATGTATGTGAGCGGCAGCATGTATGTGAGCGGCAGCATGTATGTGAGCGGCAGCATGTATGTGAGCTGCAGCATGTATGTGAGCGGCAGCATGTATGTGAGCGGCAGCATGTATGTGAGCGGCAGCATGTATGTGAGCGGCAGCATGTATGTGAGCGGCAGCATGTATGTGAGCGGCAGCATGTATGTGAGCGCACAGCAGTATGTGAGGCAGCATGTATGTGAGCGGCAGCATGTATGTGAGCGGCAGCATGTATGTGAGCGGCAGCATGTATGTGAGCGGCAGCATGTATGTGAGCGGCAGCATGTATGTGAGCGGCAGCATGTATGTGAGCGGCAGCATGTATGTGAGCGAGCAGCATGTATGTGAGCGGCAGCATGTATGTGAGGCGGCAGCATGTATGTGAGCGGCAGCATGTATCGTGAGCGGCAGCATGTATGTGAGCGGCAGCATGTATGTGAGCGGCAGCATGTATGTGAGCGGCAGCATGTATGTGAGCGGCAGCATGTATGTGAGCGGCAGCATGTATGTGAGCGGCAGCATGTATGTGAGCGGCAGCATGTATGTGAGCGGCAGCATGTATGTGAGCGGCAGCATGTATGTGAGCGGCAGCATGTATGTGAGCGGCAGCATGTATGTGAGCGGCAGCATGTATGTGAGCGGCAGCATGTATGTGAGCGGCAGCATGTATGTGAGCGGCAGCATGTATGTGAGCGGCAGCATGTATGTGAGCGGCAGCATGTATGTGAGCGGCAGCATGTATGTGAGCGGCAGCATGTATGTGAGCGGCAGCATGTATGTGAGCGGCAGCATGTATGTGAGCGGCAGCATGTATGTGAGCGGCAGCATGTATGTGAGCGGCAGCATGTATGTGAGCGGCAGCATGTATGTGAGCGGCAGCATGTATGTGAGCGGCAGCATGTATGTGAGCGGCAGCATGTATGTGAGCGGCAGCATGTATGTGAGCGGCAGCATGTATGTGAGCGGCAGCATGTATGTGAGCGGCAGCATGTATGTGAGCGGCAGCATGTATGTGAGCGGCAGCATGTATGTGAGCGGCAGCATGTATGTGAGCGGCAGCATGTATGTGAGCGGCAGCATGTATGTGAGCGGCAGCATGTATGTGAGCGGCAGCATGTATGTGAGCGGCAGCATGTATGTGAGCGGCAGCATGTATGTGAGCGGCAGCATGTATGTGAGCGGCAGCATGTATGTGAGCGGCAGCATGTATGTGAGCGGCAGCATGTATGTGAGCGGCAGCATGTATGTGAGCGGCAGCATGTATGTGAGCGGCAGCATGTATGTGAGCGGCAGCATGTATGTGAGCGGCAGCATGTATGTGAGCGGCAGCATGTATGTGAGCGGCAGCATGTATGTGAGCGGCAGCATGTATGTGAGCGGCAGCATGTATGTGAGCGGCAGCATGTATGTGAGCGGCAGCATGTATGTGAGCGGCAGCATGTATGTGAGCGGCAGCATGTATGTGAGCGGCAGCATGTATGTGAGCGGCAGCATGTATGTGAGCGGCAGCATGTATGTGAGCGGCAGCATGTATGTGAGCGGCAGCATGTATGTGAGCGGCAGCATGTATGTGAGCGGCAGCATGTATGTGAGCGGCAGCATGTATGTGAGCGGCAGCATGTATGTGAGCGGCAGCATGTATGTGAGCGGCAGCATGTATGTGAGCGGCAGCATGTATGTGAGCGGCAGCATGTATGTGAGCGGCAGCATGTATGTGAGCGGCAGCATGTATGTGAGCGGCAGCATGTATGTGAGCGGCAGCATGTATGTGAGCGGCAGCATGTATGTGAGCGGCAGCATGTATGTGAGCGGCAGCATGTATGTGAGCGGCAGCATGTATGTGAGCGGCAGCATGTATGTGAGCGGCAGCATGTATGTGAGCGGCAGCATGTATGTGAGCGGCAGCATGTATGTGAGCGGCAGCATGTATGTGAGCGGCAGCATGTATGTGAGCGGCAGCATGTATGTGAGCGGCAGCATGTATGTGAGCGGCAGCATGTATGTGAGCGGCAGCATGTATGTGAGCGGCAGCATGTATGTGAGCGGCAGCATGTATGTGAGCGGCAGCATGTATGTGAGCGGCAGCATGTATGTGAGCGGCAGCATGTATGTGAGCGGCAGCATGTATGTGAGCGGCAGCATGTATGTGAGCGGCAGCATGTATGTGAGCGGCAGCATGTATGTGAGCGGCAGCATGTATGTGAGCGGCAGCATGTATGTGAGCGGCAGCATGTATGTGAGCGGCAGCATGTATGTGAGCGGCAGCATGTATGTGAGCGGCAGCATGTATGTGAGCGGCAGCATGTATGTGAGCGGCAGCATGTATGTGAGCGGCAGCATGTATGTGAGCGGCAGCATGTATGTGAGCGGCAGCATGTATGTGAGCGGCAGCATGTATGTGAGCGGCAGCATGTATGTGAGCGGCAGCATGTATGTGAGCGGCAGCATGTATGTGAGCGGCAGCATGTATGTGAGCGGCAGCATGTATGTGAGCGGCAGCATGTATGTGAGCGGCAGCATGTATGTGAGCGGCAGCATGTATGTGAGCGGCAGCATGTATGTGAGCGGCAGCATGTATGTGAGCGGCAGCATGTATGTGAGCGGCAGCATGTATGTGAGCGGCAGCATGTATGTGAGCGGCAGCATGTATGTGAGCGGCAGCATGTATGTGAGCGGCAGCATGTATGTGAGCGGCAGCATGTATGTGAGCGGCAGCATGTATGTGAGCGGCAGCATGTATGTGAGCGGCAGCATGTATGTGAGCGGCAGCATGTATGTGAGCGGCAGCATGTATGTGAGCGGCAGCATGTATGTGAGCGGCAGCATGTATGTGAGCGGCAGCATGTATGTGAGCGGCAGCATGTATGTGAGCGGCAGCATGTATGTGACTGGCAGCATGTATGTGAGCGGCAGCATGTATGTGAGCGGCAGCATGTATGTGAGCGGCAGCATGTATGTGAGCGGCAGCATGTATGTGAGCGGCAGCATGTATGTGAGCGGCAGCATGGTATGTGAGCGGCAGCATGTATGTGAGCCGGCAGCATGTGAGCCGGCAGCAGGTATGTGAGCGGCAGCAGGTATGTGAGCGCAGCAGGTATGTGAGCGGCAGCAGGTATGTGAGCGGCAGCAGGTATGTGAGCGGCAGCAGGTATGTGAGCGGCAGCAGGTATGTGAGCGGCAGCAGTTATGTGAGCGGCAGCAGGTATGTGAGCGGCAGCAGGTATGTGAGCGGCAGCAGGTATGTGAGCGGCAGCAGGTATGTGAGCGGCAGCATGTATGTGAGCGGCAGCATGTATGTGAGCGGCAGCATGTATGTGAGCGGCAGCATGTATGTGAGCGGCAGCATGTATGTGAGCGGCAAGCATGTATGTGAGCGGCAGCATGTATGTGGCGGCAGCATGTATGTGAGCGGCAGCAATGTATGTGAGCGGCAGCAGGTATGTGAGCGGCAGCAGGTATGTGAGCGGCAGCAGGTATGTGAGCGGCAGCAGGTATGTGAGCGGCAGCAGGTATGTGAGCGGCAGCAGGTATGTGAGCGGCAGCAGGTATGTGAGCGGCAGCAGGTATGTGAGCGGCAGCAGGTATGTGAGCGGCAGCAGGTATGTGAGCGGCAGCAGGTATGTGAGCGGCAGCAGGTATGTGAGCGCAGCAGGTATGTGAGCGGCAGCAGGTATGTGAGCGGCAGCATGTATGTGAGCGGCAGCATGTATGTGAGCGGCAGCATGTATGTGAGCGGCAGCATGTATGTGAGCGGCAGCATGTATGTGAGCGGCAGCATGTATGTGAGCGGCAGCATGTATGTGAGCGGCAGCATGTATGTGAGCGGCAGCAGGTATGTGAGCGGCAGCAGGTATGTGAGCGGCAGCAGGTATGTGAGCGGCAGCAGGTATGTGAGCGGCAGCAGGTATGTGAGCGGCAGCAGGTATGTGAGCGGCAGCAGGTACGTGAGCGGCAGCAGGTATGTGAGCGGCAGCAGGTATGTGAGCGGCAGGTATGTGAGCGGCAGCAGGTATGTGAGCGGCAGCAGGTATGTGAGCGGCAGCAGGTATGTGAGCGGCAGCAGGTATGTGAGCGGCAGCAGGTATTGAGCGGCAGCAGGTATGTGAGCGGCAGCAGGTATGTGAGCGGCAGCAGGTATGTGAGCGGCAGCAGGTATGTGAGCGGCAGCAGGTATGTGAGCGCAGCAGGTATGTGAGCGGCAGCAGGTATGTGAGGCGGCAGCAGGTATGTGAGCGGCAGCAGGTATGTGAGCGGCAGCAGGTATGTGAGCGGCAGCAGGTATGTGAGCGGCAGCAGGTATGTGAGCGGCAGCAGGTATGTGAGCGGCAGCAGGTATGTGAGCGGCAGCAGGTATGTGAGCGGCAGCAGGTATGTGAGCGGCAGCAGGTATGTGAGCGGCAGCAGGGTATGTGAGCGGCAGCAGGTATGTGAGCGGCAGCAGGTATGTGAGCGGCAGCAGGTATGTGAGCGGCAGCAGGTATGTGAGCGGCAGCAGGTATGTGAGCGGCAGCAGGTATGTGAGCGGCAGCAGGTATGTGAGCGGCAGCAGGTATGTGAGCGGCAGCAGGTATGTGAGCGGCAGCAGGTATGTGAGCGGCAGCAGGTATGTGAGCGGCAGCAGGTATGTGAGCGGCAGCAGGTACGTGAGCGGCAGCAGGTATGTGAGCGGCAGCAGGTATGTGAGCGGCAGCAGGTATGTGAGCGGCAGCAGGTATGTGAGCGGCAGCAGGTATGTGAGCGGCAGCAGGTATGTGAGCGGCAGCAGGTATGTGAGCGGCAGCAGGTATGTGAGCGGCAGCAGGTATGTGAGCGGCAGCAGGTATGTGAGCGGCAGCAGGTATGTGAGCGGCAGCAGGTATGTGAGCGGCAGCAGGTATGTGAGCGGCAGCAGGTATGTGAGCGGCAGCAGGTACGTGAGCGGCAGCAGGTATGTGAGCGGCAGCAGGTATGTGAGCGGCAGCAGGTATGTGAGCGGCAGCAGGTATGTGAGCGGCAGCAGGTATGTGAGCGGCAGCAGGTATGTGAGCGGCAGCAGGTATGTGAGCGGCAGCAGGTATGTGAGCGGCAGCAGGTATGTGAGCGGCAGCAGGTATGTGAGCGGCAGCAGGTATGTGAGCGGCAGCAGGTATGTGAGCGGCAGCAGGTATGTGAGCGGCAGCAGGTATGTACGCAGCAGGTGCAGCAGGTATGTGAGCGGCAGCAGGTATGTGAGCGGCAGCAGGTATGTGAGCGGCAGCAGGTATGTGAGCGGCAGCAGGTATGTGAGCGGCAGCAGGTATGTGAGCGGCAGCAGGTATGTGAGAGGCAGCAGGTTAGCGCAGCAGGTATGTGAGCGGCAGCAGGTATGTGAGCGGCAGCAGGTATGTGAGCGGCAGCAGGTATGTGAGCGGCAGCAGGTATGTGAGCGGCAGCAGGTATGTGAGCGGCAGCAGGTATGTGAGCGGCAGCAGGTATGTGAGCGGCAGCAGGTATGTGAGCGGCAGCAGGTATGTGAGCGGCAGCAGGTATGTGAGCCGGGCAGCAGGTATGTGAGCGGCAGCAGGTATGTGAGCGGCAGCAGGTACGTGAGCGGCAGCAGGTATGTGAGCGGCAGCAGGTATGTGAGCGGCAGCAGGTATGTGAGCGGCAGCAGGTATGTGAGCGGCAGCAGGTATGTGAGCGGCAGCAGGTATGTGAGCGGCAGCAGGTATGTGAGCGGCAGCAGGTATGTGAGCGGCAGCAGGTATGTGAGCGGCAGCAGGTATGTGAGCGGCAGCAGGTATGTGAGCGGCAGCAGGTATGTGAGCGGCAGCAGGTATGTGAGCGGCAGCAGGTATGTGAGCGGCAGCAGGTATGTGAGCGGCAGCAGGTATGTGAGCGGCAGCAGGTATGTGAGCGGCAGCAGGTATGTGAGCGGCAGCAGGTACGTGAGCGGCAGCAGGTATGTGAGCGGCAGCAGGTATGTGAGCGGCAGCAGGTATGTGAGCGGCAGCAGGTATGTGAGCGGCAGCAGGTATGTGAGCGGCAGCAGGTATGTGAGCGGCAGCAGGTATGTGAGCGGCAGCAGGTATGTGAGCGGCAGCAGGTATGTGAGCGGCAGCAGGTATGTGAGCGGCAGCAGGTATGTGAGCGGCAGCAGGTATGTGAGCGGCAGCAGGTATGTGAGCGGCAGCAGGTATGTGAGCGGCAGCAGGTATGTGAGCGGCAGCAGGTATGTGAGCGGCAGCAGGTATGTGAGCGGCAGCAGGTACGTGAGCGGCAGCAGGTATGTGAGCGGCAGCAGGTACGTGAGCGGCACACCACACGAAGTGAGCATACCGTGTGGAGCGGCAGCATGTGCGCTCCAATGAACTCCGACTTTTCAAACCGCTCGCTGTCCATCAGCCGTATGGTCAGCTGCTGCGACTGTGGGTCCTCCACCTGTGCGAGGGGGTGAGGGGCACAGTGCGAGAGAGCAGCACAGCAGGTAAAGCAAACACACCGTGTGGAGTGGCAGCATGTTGGCTCCAACGACTTTTCAAACCGCTCGCTGTCCATCAGGCGGATGGTCAGCTGCTGCGACTCTGGGTCCTCCACCTGTGAGCGAGGGAGTGAAGGGCGAAGGGCGGTAGACCTGTGCGGGGGAGGGCAGTTTGCCGCGGGTCAGCATCACATTGCCACTCCCAACCCAGCTGAACCGCCTCTCTCAACCCCCCCCCCTTCCCGCCCCCCCCCCCCCCCAACTTCTTCCTCTCACCTTGTGAACCTTATCAATCATCATCATGGCAGCTCGGAACCCCATGGCTTGGGCGCTCAGACGCATTTCCCTCAGCTCTGTGCGAGAGGGCAGTTCAACCACTCCCAACCCAACCCAACCTCTCCTCACTCCCCCTCCTCCTCCCTCTCACCTTGGGAAATCCCCCTCCCCATCCTCCTCACCTTGGGAACCTTATCAATCATCATCATGGCAGCTCGGACCCCCATGGCCTGGGCGCTCAGGCGCATTTCCCTCAGGTCCATGCGCGCGGGCAGCTCAACCACTCCCAACCCAACCCAACCCAACCTTTCCTAGGTCAACTCCACCACCTCTTCCTCCTCACCTTGGGGACTGTATCGATCATCATCATCATGGCAGCTCTGATGCCCACTCTCTCACTCGCTCGCATTTCCCTCAGCTCCGTGCGGCAGGGCACCTTGCCACTCCCAACCCAACCCAGCGGCCAGCCCAACCCAACCCCACTCCTCCTCACCTTGGGAACCTTATCGATCATCATCATCGCAGCCCTGACCCCCATGGCCTGGGCGCTCAGCCGCATCTCCTTCAGCTCTGTGCGGGACAGAACCTTGGGACCCAACCTAACCCAGCCTAAGCCAGCCCAACCCCTCCTCACTCAAACCCAACCTCCCTCCTCACCTTGGGAACCTTATCGATCATCATCATGGCAGCTCGGACCCCCATGGCTTGGGCGCTCAGCCGCATTTCCTTGAGCTCCGTGCGCGAGGGCAGCTTGCCACGAGTGAGTGGGCGCAGGCACGACCGGTACCGCAGGTGCAGGATGCGCACCGCCTTCTCTAAACCGTCCAGATCGGCCGGGTCGAGGATCGGACGGCTCACAGCGCCTGAGGGTGGGGGTGGGGTTCAGGGATCGGTGTGGGAGGGGAGGGGAGGAGGGGCAAGCGGGGGGGGGGAGGTGGGGGGCCAGGGGGGGGGAGAGGGGGAAAGGTAAGGGTGGGGGGGGCAGAGGTGGAGGGAAGAGGAATGGAAAGAGATTCGCAGGCAGCTTGCCGCGAGTGAGTGGGCGCAGGCACGACCGGTACCGCAGGTGCCGGATGCGCACCGCCTTCTCTAAACCGTACAGATCGGCCGGGTCGAGGATCGGGCGGCTCACTGAGCCTGAGGATGGGTTATGGTTTCAGGGACGCGTGTAGGAGGAGGGGAGGGAGGAGAGAGGGGCGTGGGAGGGGACGGTTGAGGGAGAGGGGAGAGGGGAGATGGGGGAGGAGAGTGGAAAGGCATAGCAAGGTACGGCAGGTGCAGAAGGGCGAGTGGTGGGCTGGGGGAGGGAAGAAGGGGGACAATGGAAGGGCGTCATAAGGCCCACTAGCTGCAGAATGTGCACTGCCTTCTCAACACCCTCCAGCTGAAAAGCATCCAGAGCTGCGCTACGGACAAGGTATCAGAAAAAACGGTTGCGGGAGGGGATAGATAGGGGAGAAGGGAGAGGGGGAAGGGGGGTGGAAGGGTATTTCTTCTAGGTATGCAAGTTGCAGGATGTGCGCTTCCTTCTCTAGACTGTCCAGTTGAATAGCATCCCGAGAGCTGTGCTACTGGCAGGGCGTGGGATGGGAGAGTTGGGGACGGTAGAGGGGAGAGGGGATGAAAGAGGAAAGCGGGGAGAGGAGAGAGGGGAAAGGGGAGAGGGGAGAGGGGAGAGGATAGAGGGGGGAGGGGAGAGGGAGGAGGGTAGAGGGGAGAGGGAGGAGGGTAGAGGGGAGAGGGGAGAGGGGAGAGGGGAGAGGGGAGGCATGGAAGGGTACGATAAGGTTCCGCAGAATGGGAGCAAGGGTTGGGGGGAGAAGGGGAAGAGGGGAGAAGTAGTGGCCTGGATTTTAGGAGTGGGTGGCTGACAAATTGGTTGGGAGAGGGAGTGTGGGTGTGAGTGGGAATGGGGTGTGAGTGTGAGACGCACATGGGAATGGGAATGGAATTGGGGATGGGAATGGGAATGGAATTGGGAATGGGAATGGGAATGGGAATGAAAGTGGGAGTGGGCGTGGGAGTGGATGGGGAAATGGGAGTAAGAGCAACATTTTGAGTGGGAGTGGGGTTGGAGGTAAGATTCGGAGTGAGAATGGGAATGGGAGTGGGCGTGGGAGTGTGAGTGTGAGTGGGAGTGAGTGAGGGAGTAGGAACGGGAGCTGGATTGCGCAAGGGGTGGAGCGGGAATGGGCACAAGAAGAGAGTGCGGGGAGTGCGAGAGTGGAGGAGGGACTGAGGGGGGACGAAAGAGAGTCGAACCAGAGAAGAGCAAAAGATAACACGAAAAACGAAGGCCAACATTTAAGGCCACGACTATTCACCACGTCATCCGTCCGCTAACCTTCCTCTACCACCAAAAACCTAACCCAATTCCTAACCGCAATCCTAGTATGAAGGCTAATCTTAAACTGAACCATAACCCTAAACTTGACATTCGCATTGCCTCCTTCCGCGAAACCTAACCTAACCTAACCGACCGCGTCACAATGCTAACATACCCGCCTCGGTCCGCTGTTTCCTGGCCGCGCTTCCTTGCTGCCGGTATCACGGCATGGAGTGCTAAACGCGTGTAGACGCACCATGGTGATTGGTGCGTCCTGTCACAGTAGCCAGCGGCCAGCCTGTCACGCTGTTACCCTACTAAACATACTTCTGTCCGATGCCTCCACGCTACCTGCCCACCCCCGTCCGCCGCGGTCTCCTCGCTTCCCGAATTGCGACTCGACTCAAACTGTGTGCGTCCTGCCAGCCTGTCACGCTGTAATCCTTTTAAACCAAATCACCTCCAATGTCTCCTCGCCAGAACCTACCTCCGTCCGCCGCTGTCTCCTCGCCTCCCGAATTCTTGGTCGACTCAAACCAATCTACGCGTCCTGCCAGCCTGTCGCGCTGCAATCCCACTAAACATACCCCCGTCTGATGTCTCCTCGCCAGAACCTACCTCCGTCCGCTGCTGCCTCCTCGCTTCCCGAGTCGTGCAGCTGCGTGAAAAGCGCGTGCAGACAGCTTAGCATGCGGACACGTGGCAAGCCGTCCCCGTCCGCCTTCGCATTTCCGCGGTTATACGCTGACATGGCGGCTGTAACTGCGCCGAGTGCCAGGTGTGCGATTCCTAGAGGCGCGCCGAGCTGACCGGATCGTGCGACGGTTCCGATTGGTTCGGGCAGGTTTTCGGAAACATTTCGTTGGTCGGGCAGCCATGTGGGTTCGATGTCGTCGTCGCTACCGTCTGAGAAATCGCCAAAGTCCGCCATTATGCGTAGCAGACTAACAGCAGGGCAATAGGCTGTGAATAAATATGGGTCGTTTTGGATAATCTATTAGACAAATTCAGCCCTGCTTTGACGGCACTGATACAGCGAGACCGCGCTCTATATCGTGTCCCAAAATGATAATTTGTCCCACTAGTCACTACGGCTGGTCTGTGGTGGCGTGTCTGAATATCATTGGACTACAGAATTTCAGTCAGTTCTCGCGAGAATGGAGTCAGTGTGAAGTATTATCTCCCCCTGGTTAATCACGGGGAAGAACCGAGTTAGCTTGACAAGCCCTACATGTAAGTCCGATGTTGTTACGTCAGGTGCGTCAGAGACCTAGGCCAGCAAGAAGCTGTTAACAAGTAGTAACAGGTCGTCCTTCGCATAAGTGCGGCTACCGGATGTACCCGTTCCCTACAATACGGACACCCATTGGGTGGGCTACTATCATGACAAGATAACACTACAAGAGAAATGGCTGGATAACACGAACATGTGTTTCCATAAATGACTGTTCTCGAGTGAACAAAAGGAACACAAAGCAGCACTAGTTGCTTGCTCGTGGGATGATGCGTCTCCCGGAAAGATGCAGCTCTGACGGGGAGGTTTACTCTCTTAAATGGTCTGACTCTCTTCCAGTAAACGATCGCCTAAACGGGGTACGATGTGAATATTGTCCAAAACCACGAGTCACTTATTGGGGAAAACGGCTATCTGCTGGCAAAAGGTCGATTTACCATGTCAGAATGGATGCTTTATCTGAACGGCAGGGAACAACAAACAGTTCGGGAGACCTTGAGATTTCTCCCTTTCCTCGATCCGGAACAAAATATCAAGGGATGTAAACAAGACTTGCAGTACTGTACAGAAATTGTGGGAATCGTTTGGTTAACCAGAAACAATTGGTCACCAGAAACGAAGCGTGCTTTCCCTTTCTCTCATTGGTCCACTGGAGGACATTGCGCGAAACGAACCAACTCCAAGAGTTGGTGAGCAGGAATGAAATGAACGGTGCGAGTGTGTGACCTGTAGGGGTGTGCGTGTGTGAGCGCAGCGGGAAAATCACTTCAGCCAGTGATGTGAAAGGACCAAAAACAGCTCGATTCCTGCCTCTTGCGGCACAAAACGCCAAGCACCAGGGGGCCTTGAAAGTGTACAGTGAGCCGGTATAAAAAGACTCGCGGGGCACCAGGGGGTCATCCAACGAAATGCCACATAATATCTCGCTTTTTGAAACATTATTGAACCGCGAAGAGTTTTTGCAGTTTATGCCTGAACCTCTTCCATATAGAACGGACCTTTTCTCATGTTTTAGGAAAGACAATCAGGTACATACTTCAAGTGCAGCGCTTCAGCAATACCAACAAGCGTTATGACTTTGCATCAAACCAGCCCTGGGCCATATGCTGACTGAAGTTACTTGTGAACCATGCATGTGTTATCTAGCGATTTGGATCATTATTGCAAATTATAGGCCAATCCGTGATCATCTAAAAAGTGTTGAACTGTTTCTCTGAGTGCCAAGTTTGGCACCAGCTGCTCTGGCGTCAAGGGGGCCCTTGTTACCGGGTCAAAGTGTTTTCCCTGCACCAGAAAAAAGACCAAGAAATACTGTATGTAAAGGCATACAGTACAGATATGATTTCACACCACAGGAAGGCAAAGCGTAGCTATCTACGAAATAGAGAAGAAGAAAGAAAGAAAGAAGCGCAGCCAACGGGCTGTTAGGACGTGGTAGAAGTGCTCTCATAATCTTTTTTTTTTTTCAGCGGAGATGCAACGGAGCAGCCTACGTACTTACCAACTTCAGGTGATCCACCAGCACGGCTCGTTCGTATGTCACGCCACTGGGGGTGATGACAGGATCCTTGAAAATGTCCATGGTGATCTTGCAGCACAGAAAGTCAGGCACCTTGGGGGCACAGTTGAAGGGAGAGAGGGGTGGAGAGATAGAGGAAAAGAGAGCCCGTAGGTGAGTGATGATGACAGGATCCTTGAAAATTTTCATGGTGATCTTGCAGCACAGGAAGTCAGGCACCTGTGGGGCACAAGGGGGTGCGGGAGAGAGGCAGCACGGTGAGTGCATGGTGGAAGGCACATCAAAACAACAGGGGCCACCACCAGCTGGTGATCAAAGGGGATTGATAGACAGGGTCCTTGAAAATGTCCATTGTGATCTTTGCTGCAGTGGAGGTGAGGCACCTGTGACCCATATGACCTTTGAGGCGCCTCAGATGGTGTTCCTGAGATGGGGCCCCATCCGAAGTTCACCATGCTACAGTGCACAAAGCACGTGCCTGTGGCATGGCAGCAAAGGGGGGGGTGAATGTGGGTGTCGCATGAGTTGGGAGTTGATGGTCGTGCGATTTTCCCGCACATCAACTTTCCCTAACGCCAAACGTCATAACCACTGTCGTTTTTTACTGTCACGGTACCCAGCCGTGACTGGATTGGAATTGGAGCACATTTGCGAGGGTTGGTTGGAATTGGCCGTTAAAACTTGTCGCATGAACGTTGAATTCAAATGCATGTGATTGGTTGACCCAAATCTTTCATGTTTTTCGCCCTAGGCGACTGCCGTCGCCAGGCACGTGTGGTGGGTGTGACCAGAATCGAATTCTGCCACGCTGGACCAATGTTGTTGCACCGACCATGGCAATCGATGGGGCCCCATCTCAGGAACGCCATCTCAGAATGTTCAAAGGGGGTTGATAGACAGGGTCCTTGAAAATGTCCATTGTGATCTTGGCTGTAGCGGAGGTGAGGCACCTGTGACCCATGTGTTGACTTGCATACAAAAACGCACACGATGCCCAGAACACAAAAGAACATCACCCCAGAAGGCATCTTCAGAGTGTTGGGCCGCACCCTTGATGCTGCAGCAGAGCATGCTGCCCTGCCTTGTCGCTTAGTGACTTGGTCTGTCGCTCCAGGTTTTTTTTTTATAGAAATCTAAGAAAAAAAAACCGTGCTCCTGCCTTGTCAAACACGTCCTTGAGCATGGTGAGGCGCTCCTGGTGCTGCTGCAGAGCAGACATTCCTTCGCATCACCCCACCTTCTGAGCCTCCTCAACAACTCAACGGACACATTTTCTTCCAGAGTCCCAAACACTCACCTCGGTAGGTCTGTCTGGTGCTCCCGGCTTGTCAAACACGTTCTCCAGTGTGTCGAATTGCTCCTGATACTGCAGGAGTAGGCATGCCGCCTCATCACCCACCTTCTGAGGCACCATATGTGCTCACCTCAGTCGGTCTGTCTGGTGCTCCCGCCTTATCAAACACGTTTTCCAGCGTGTTGAGTCGCTCCTGGTACTGCTGCACTAGCGTCCTCACTTGTTCTGACTTGTGAGGGTCCAGACCTGTGGGAAGAGTGGGGTTGGAAGAACGAGAGGAGAGGATACAGGCGTAAGGCATAGATTCGTGTTAGGGCGCTCCTGATATTGCTGCACTAGCGTCCTCACCAGCTCCGTTTTGGTTGGATCCATAGCTGCAGAGAACGAGATGCGTGAGAGGCACGAGAGGGACAAGTGAGAGTGGGACGACGAGAGGCAGAGGTGGGGAGAAGAGGGTAGAAGAGCATGTTGAGGCGCTCCTGGTACTGCTGCAACAGCGTCCTCACTTGTTCTGACTTCAGAGGGTTTAAGCCTGCAGAGGGTGAGATACACGAGAGGGAGATGTGAGTGTGGGATGATGAGAGGGAGAGGTGGGAGCAGGGGGTAGAAAAGGCATGTTTGGCCGCACCTGGTACTGCTGCACGGGCGTCCTCCTCTCCTGTTCCGACTTGAGAGGGTCCAGACTTGTGGAAGGCGTAAGGAATTGAGAGGCACGGGAGGGAGACAAGCAAATGGGAGGATGAGAGCGGGAGGTGCGAGTGGGGAAGGTAACGAGTGCTGAGTTAAGCCACGCCTGGTGTATTTTGAACGACTCTCGAAATACACCTGGACAAGGCATGGGTTATGACATGAGCTGCATTGCATGTGTCTGTAATCCCCTAACTCCCCACTCTCCTCTCACCATCCGTGTTTCCCAAGCTGGAGAAGTCCACACGAGCTGATCCATTCAGCGCACCCTCTTTGCCTGCAAAGGACGGAGACAGGGCAGCAAGTCACATGCTTTTTCATTGACAATGTCCCTCGCTTCGACTCAAACTTGGCGTTCTGAGCAACAGATTTTAAGATTCATGTGACTTTTCGAGGACAAAATCAGGCGCTCTTAAGTTCGCTTGAGTCACCACACATTTCCCACTACAAGCACAATGTAACATCCACAGTGTATTTGATTCAAAAGTTTGTTAACATGACTAAAACGAAACATCTATCGCACGGGCGGCATAACAACACACTAACTAGAAAGCTGACTTGTGAGGTGTCTCAGAGGTTAGCACCGCGCTTACCAAAAAGCTGACTTTCAAGGCTGCGATACTTGCTGGCAACACAACAACAAGCTGACATTCGTGGCTGTCATACCAACGCAAACACCGCACGTACCAAGAAGCTGCGATACTTGCTGGCACAGGCGATTCTTTAGTAGCAACCTCAGCTCGTCTCTGCACCCAAACACCCGTCAACTCACGAAAATCATCAGCAAAGGACCAAACAATAGCAATATATATATATATATATATTCATACAGTTACATATCTATATATCTATATATGTATATAATAATTTCTATAAATTTCTATACATATATATATAGATAAAGATATAAAGAGGAAAAAAAGGGTTTTGCAACCACCTCTATCATCCCCAAGCCACATCACTCCAAACTCACCCCAGCGCTTGCTGCTTCTCCCTCCTCACCTTGTCCTCTTCCTCCCACCGTCAATACTTGGCAGCAGCCTGCACGTGCTGAGTTGCAGACTTCACACACACACACAAGCACATGGTTTCACAAGCACATGGTTTCACAAGCACATGGTTTCACAAGCACATGGTTTCACAAGCACATGGTTTCACAAGCACATGGTTTCACAAGCACATGGTTTCACAAGCACATGGTTTCACAAGCACATGGTTTCACAAGCACATGGTTTCACAAGCACATGGTTTCACAAGCACATGGTTTCACAAGCACATGGTTTCACAAGCACATGGTTTCACAAGCACATGGTTTCACAAGCACATGGTTTCACAAGCACATGGTTTCACAAGCACATGGTTTCACAAGCACATGGTTTCACAAGCACATGGTTTCACAAGCACATGGTTTCACAAGCACATGGTTTCACAAGCACATGGTTCACAAGCACATGGTTTCACAAGCACATGGTTTCACAAGCACATGGTTTCACAAGCACATGGTTTCACAAGCACATGGTTTCACAAGCACATGGTTTCACAAGCACATGATTTCACAAGCACATGATTTCACAAGCACATGGTTTCACAAGCACATGGTTTCACAAGCACATGGTTTCACAAGCACATGGTTTCACAGGCACATGGTTTCACAAGCACATGGTTTCACAAGCACATGGTTTCACAAGCACATGGTTTCACAAGCACATGGTTTCACAAGCACATGGTTTCACAAGCACATGGTTTCACAAGCATCTCTCTCACAGTTCAGTGCTCACTCACCGCTTCTCCCTCCTCGCCCTGGCCTCTTCTTCCCACCGCCGGTACTTGGCAGCAGCAGCCAGCAGTCTTCAGATGTCGTCAAGTGTTGGAGAATGCAAACACACAATGAAATCTGTGATTTTTGCACTAGACTCACCCCAGTGCTTGCTGCTTCTCTCTCCTCGCCTTGGCCTCTTCCTCCCACCGCCGGTATTTGGCAGAAGCAAGAACTCTCCAGATGTCGTCCAGGTTGTCACTGCGCACCAGCCGCGTGTCGTTCCTCAGTGCTTCCAGTGCCTGGGTGGGGGAACACAAGCGAGGGAGGAGGAGAGAGAATAGGGGGCAGCCAGCAGCAGCAGCAGCAGCAGCAGCAGCAGCAGCCAGCACTCTCCAGATGTCGTCCAGGTTGTCACTGCGCACCAACCGGGTATCGTTCCAGGTTGTCAGTGCTTCTAGTGCCTGGCAGGGAAAAGCAGTGGGGGAAGGGGGAAACGAACAAGATTCTTGATGCACCTCATGATTTCTTCACACCTCCGCGGGTACTTGGCAGCAGCCAGCACTCTCCAGATGTCGTCCCAGCTGTCACTGCGTACCAGGCGGGTATCATTCCTCAGTGTGCTCCCAGCGCCTGGGATAGGATGGGGAGGAGGGAGAATAGGGATCCGAAGCAGCTAGTAATTCAAGCAAAGTGGATTTGACAGCAGCAGCAGCAGCCAGAACTCTCCAGACGTCGTCCAGGTTGTCACTGCGCACCAACCGGGTATTGTTTCTCAGTGCTTCTAGTGCCTGGCGTGGAAAGGAGAGGGGGGAAGGATAAGGAGCTTGATGTTACTCATTACTTCAACACCATTCCGGTACTTGGCAGCAGCAAGAACTCTCCAGATGTCGTCCAGGTTGTCACTGCGCAGCAGCCGTGTGTCGTTCCTCAGTGCTTCCAGAGCCTGGCATGGGAATGCAGGAAGAGGGAGACGGATTGGGAGGGGAGGGGAAGAGGAGGAGTGAGGAGGAGCGAGAATAGGGCTCAGCCCGTGGCAGGCAGCACCAGCCGCGTGTCGTTCCTCAGTGCTTCCAGAGCCTGGCATGGGAATGGCAGACAAACGGATAACCAGGCACCGTGCCGTTCCACACTGACTGTAGCTCCTGGAAACAGAGTGGCTGAAAGGGATAAAAACTGGTTGCACAAGCATGCTAGCGAGTGCCAGAAATTCACTGGTTGTACGCATTGGTTTTTCCAACCAATTTGTCCTCCACTTCTCAGCCACAACCGCTCATCCATCCAGATTCCAATACCCGCACCCCACCCACCCACCTTCCCCCCTTCCCATCCCAGTCACACCCCAAGCACACCCTGTCCCTGTCCCTCTCCCTTTCCCCCTCCCCCCTGTCCATTCCCCCTCCACGCACCTTCTCCAGCTCTCTAATCGCCTCTGGGAATCGGCTCAGCGTAGATGCGCCCAACCACACCCCCTGTCCATATACCCCCACGCACATGTCCGACCCCCTTCCCCTCTGTCCTTCTCCCTCTCCCACCCCTGTCCCACCCCCGCACACACCTTCTCCAGCTCTCTGACCGCCTCTGGAAATCGGCTCAACTCCACCAGAGCAAGACCAAGAAGAAAGCGCGCCTGCCGAGAGGGGAAAACGACACACGAGTGATTTTGTTTGTTTGTTTGTCAACGAGGCCATTTGAGATCGAGGAGGAAACAGGACAGGAGACATGAGAGAGAGGGTGACCTTTTTTTTAGTCGAATCAAAAGACATCAGAAAAGGCATGTTACGTTGTCATCACAATGCTTTACTCCTCAAATGCATGCAATCAACTGTAGGCCGGAGAAAGCACCTTGACGGAATTTCTGTCCAGTTCCAAGGCCTTTGTGCAGTCATGCTCTACTCTCGGCCAATCGCTGCACAGAGATGAAAGAACGGGAACGCGAATAATAATGACAAGGGTTTAGCGACACGTTAACAACATGAACCGGCAGAATAAGACAACACAAAAGGCCAAAACCTTTGACCAACATGAGAAGGCAACATGCCAACATGTCACCATGACACGCCAACATAATAAGCCAGCAAGTCAGCTTGAACAGAAGCCCCATGTGTCACTCACCATTTTCTCCTATGACAGAGAGCTCGGTTGGTCCAGTAGACTGGCACGCCTGGGGCAAAGGTGATAGCCTGCCGTGGGGGAGGATAAGGGAGTGGGAGACACAGAGAATGGAAAGGGGCAGAGGAGACGGAGACACAGCAGCAAAGCTCGGTTGGTCCAGTAGACTGGCACACCTGGGGCAAAGGTGATGGCCTGCCGTGGGGGAGGGTGGGAGATGAGTGGGAGTGACAAGGGGCGGAGGACAAGGAAACACAGCAGCAGAGGTTGGAGTTGGGTGGGAACGGAGAGAAGGGTGGGAGTGCACAGAGCTCGGTTAATCCAGTAAACCGGCACGCCTGGGGCAAAGGTGATGGCCTGGCTTGGGGAGGGGACAGGACGGGGTACAACTAACTATCGGCAGCAAAACAAGAGGAATTTGGCACACGCGGGAAAAACAGGGAACAATAAGCAACACCGCCATGACGTTGCAGGGATTTTTTGAGAATTCTCGGGAAAACAGGGAACAATAAGCAACACCACCATCCATGACTGCCCCTCTACCTACTCTCCCCACCCTTCCCGTCCCTCTCCCCCATCTCCGCCATCCGACCTGGCGTGCCATCAACTGCCCATCTTATGCATGGGCCGATGCCCTTTTCCCACACTGGAATGGCTTCTCAGTCGACCCACAAGCCACCTAATTTTAACAGTTCTCTTCAAACGTAGGGCCACCTTGTTTGTGCCGTTCTGCAAGCTGAGCTGGGGGAGGCACGCACCTCCGTGTACGCGTCTATAGCTGCTCCGAGAAACCCTTTGTTAAAGTACTCGTTGCCTTTCTGTTTCAGCCTCTCCGCCTGAAGCTCCTGCGCCGACTTCGGCGGCATTGCGGCGCTTTCTTGTAAGAGAAACGACCACAACCACCAGGAGACGCAAATTCGCTGCGAACCTTCTCCTTAGAGAACTCGTGGTCGTCTCCAACGACGGCGGTTCCGTAATCCAGGGTCGAGCCTAGGTTGGGCCTAGATCGAGCTCAGAATGAGCCTAATTGAGCCAGGTTTGGTCCGAGATTGAGATAATATCAAGCCTGATTACGCAGCTGACGCAGCTACGACGTTCAAATGGCGATGCCGCAGCACTGATTCAAGCTATAAGTATGCGGCTAAAGTGATTCTAAGCCAGACTGAGCAAGCTTTAAAACTGATGATTACGAAGACGCTAAAGTAAGGTAGGTCGACAGAGGTAGCTACTTAGATAACAGTTACAGGGAATACAGGAGATGCCAACAGCTGAGCGATTGTATGATTAGAACAAAGGTGCGACTAAATGGGTTTGGGAGCCTGCGACAAACTCTCAGCGCTTCGCGCAAGATGCTGCTGCCACCTAACGCCACGAGATCATGTCAAATTCCTCTGCTGCAGCTCAGGCCAGCAGTAAGATGATGCATGGTGAAGCAGCTAGTTACCAAAACAACAGCCGCCTTGGGATTCGGGATATGGGGATGGCTGTTGCTTCTTGCAGCATGTGGAATGGAAGCACCTGGAAGCTCCTTCCCGTCATGTCCAATGCCTTTCAATTCCGATAAACCCTACGTACCGCACTGTCAGCATACAGAACCCTACAAAAACTCAAGCGAAACGTGACGAACCGAGCTGCATGTCCTTCCGGTGACTTGCTTATGCAGCAGTTGTCAGAGCAGAACGGAGCCGCAGTTGCACACAGAAACCAGCCACACTGCTGTCAGAACCTCGATTTTTCCATGTACGCGAAAAGATAACGAAGTGTATTGTGTGGTACGCGAGAAAGGGAAAGTATGCCAATGGTAACAGAAAAGAGGCTCTATAACGCGTACGGTGACTTTTACAGTATGTGTTCACGCGTTTGGTAACTTTTGTCTTGTGAGGCTGTTTTGGAAGTTCAAACTACCGTCTGCCATCCAGTGCCGATGGGAACATCGACCTCATCCTGCTCTGGTCCTCGACACAAACGGTAAGTTTCTGCCTTCTGTTCACCCTCACGTGTCTATGCTGTGGTTTTGACAGGTCGGATTTTTCGCCAATATGGGAACCCCTGCACACCCCGCCATCTCCTGTTACGCATCCATCTGCTCGGCCAGCAACGAATGCTACACTCAAGGCCAGATCATCCCCCTTTCATCCAAGCGGGCGGAACCCCACCTTCCGGTCCTCCAGCAACATGCATGGGCCCGTCGTCGTCACAGGCGTGCAGAACAGTCTCTGTGGAACATCTCACGCCCACACAAGGAATACCAGCATGAGACTCTCCTCTGGCCAAGCCCGAAGAGGAAGGCAAACGCCCGTCACGCCATGGCGAGGTTGCCTGAACTACAATATGGCGACACGTGCTGGCGCCAGGAAGCTCCGCTTGCGTCAGCTCCCTCTCAATGGATGAGCGCCATGTCTTCTGCACTGACTGGTTTGCTCGAATGTGACGTCAGTTTATGGCGGTTCGGCTGCATGATGTGCCTTCCAAGCCGCATTCTTCAGTCTTGCCTCAATGTCTTGCCATTTGGCATCGAACGCTTGTTCTCCCTCGAGAGACAACGTTCTCCCTTCGGGGAAGTAGTTTGTTTGGGTTTCGCTCCCAGCATAACCGCGCACCGCATATTCTGTGCTCCTCTGGATCCGTTCACCCACGCCGCGACGCGGCTGCTCGCGCCTGATCTTTCCTATTTCTACCCCCCCTCGACTTCCCCTTTCTTCGTCGCTCCCGTCATGGCCACCACTCAGGGCTTTGACGCAGTAATGGCCGACAACAGAGTCACCGTTCCCTCCGTGAGCGACCTCTTGCCGGACGAGGGACAATCGATGCCGCAGGCCAAGAAGATTTGCACGGGGGAAACCTCGTCGTCTGCGCGACCTGCTCCTGCTCCTGTCATGGATCCGGTGGCTGACCCTGAAGCGGCCCCAGACTTCACCCTCAACGGTCTGGAGTCCAGCACGGCGCCAACACAGGTGCTGGCTGGCCCCCTCCAGCGGCTGCGCCGCAATCGCGACGTGGTCGGAGAGATTGTACATAACCTGGTACGAGACACTCTCACTTTGGTCACCATCATCTTTCCGGATAGCCTAGCTGATGTGCACCGCAGCAAGATCAGCAGTCGTGTTCGCGCTGGTTTGCGTCCTGCCTTCTTCCCGCACTCTAACCGTGTACCTACGTTCGAGTCCTCCCCTGGTGAAGTCCTCCGACTCCCCCGTCGAGCGTACGCGAAGCTGGTGTTCCAGCTCCCCACACGGGATGACGCCAGGGGCTTCCGTCGAGCTTTCCCGATGACCTTCAACTACAACGGTGGTTCTGTCGAGCTGAAGCTCTACGACGATCCTGAGCCGGCTTTCACGGCGGCCAAAGCCCGGGGTGAAACTCACCTGGTCATCCACAACATTCCCTTCGGGTACTCCGTGAGCGCGATTCGCCAGCTGCTCACGACGAGCAGCACGCAAGATGCGCGGAAGTGGCTGTCCGACATCCGCGTTTTCCACAAAACGACCGACCCGTACGAGGAGATCTCGCAGCCCCAGATGATGGGGCTTCCTGTCGCGGAGCCTGACGATCCTTGCTTCGAAAATATCCCCGCGGTACTCTGGCTTGAGGACGCTCAGCTGCCGATGATCATCAACCTGTCATGTCACTCGTGTGACATTTGCACGAGCAACCACAGGACGCGTGACCATCAGTGGTTTGCGGCGACGCGCCGCAGGAACCTCCCCAACCGTTACACCATCACAATCGGGCAACTGCAGAACGTCACGGGTACGCATCTGGTTGTCCCTGCCTTATGCCGCGCTTCTGTGTCACCATCATGTTTTGCTGTTCACTGCATGCTCTGGTTCGGTTCAGATCACGCACAATGCATGCTGTCTGCTTCCGTGCCACACTACCGTTCTGCCACTTACCTTGCTGTTCTGTGCCACCGTTCTGGCAATGTTCCGAGACTTCCCGTCCCTGATTTGGTCCTTCTTCCTGGCCTCCCTAGGTCATACGCTATGGTTGGCGGTGGTAGGACCCTGTCTGCCAAATCCCCTTCTCTCCCCTTCTCCCCTGTGCTGTATGCCCTGCCCTACTTGTTAACCAGCCAAGCTGCTCGGACAAACGCCGGTGCCTCTGGCTGTCAAAGCCGACCCCGGGATCCTGTACATCGGTTCCGAGGACGATGTCGAACTGTGGACTTGTGCGATATGCGACTTCGAGTGCGGGCCTGCCCTCGACAGTGCCTTAGCGCACATCCGCTCCCCTGGCCACGGGCTTCGGCTCATGCAGACGGAGACTCAGACCACTGCCCTGGAGACCTGGGGCCCCATCAAGGCGCACGATTTGAGGCAGCGCGAAGAGTTTGCCTCCTTCCTTGCCTCACTTCTGTAGACCACAACTGCTTGTGTGCTGTTCAATACGTTGCAACACGCCGTCTGAGCCCGGCGCTGGCTCTGTTAGGATTGCTGGTGATGGCCATGTGCTGGCTGTATCATGCCCTTAACAAAATCTGTTTTGGCCTTGATGAACCTTTCCCTTATAAGGATATCTGGTGCAATAGCCGTCTTGTTCCCATATGGCAACATTTCCCTTACACGAAACCCCAGGCTCTTTATTGCTCCTGGTTAATCTGTTACTTCACTACCTTTCTGGCATACCCTTCGAACCTCGGATGGACGCACTTACTGTTCTCAATGCCCCCGTGGATGTGTGCATCTAGGTGCACAGGGGGCCTAAAAGTGTTTCCATGTTAGTCCCAATCACCATCTCCAGCCTCAATATCAATGGGCTTAACTCTCTGCTTAAGATGGATGAGTTACGAGCCTCATTTGTTAGAATGCCTGATATCTTAGTTCTCATTGATACACGACTTACCAAAAATTTCTCTAAACTCATACGTAAATTTCGGCCCAAAGCTTATGCCCAAACACCGCCAACGGTCACCAACGGTACCGCTGACCCAGGAGGCATAGCGCTTATGATTTTTCACCCCGCCATCTCCATCCTTGACCGTTCATCTTCCGACGACGGTCGGTTTCTCATGACTCATATTCGTTTATTCCATGAACAGTTTTGCTGTTTTTGCGTGTACGGCCCTAACTACCAGCCTGCGCGTAGGCGCTGGTGGGAAACCAAGCTTGTGTGAGAATGAGAACGAGAATGAGTGAACTATGAAAATGAAGTGGGTACAAATATGAAACCCTAATTGGTTGTACCCCCTATGGGATACCCCACTATAGCCTACACAACAGCATAAGCTATAATGTTCTGACACACCCCCATAGGCAAAGTGGGGGAGAACAAGGGGTCACAAGACCAGTCAAGCAAAGCAAAGCAAAGCAAGCTCAGGGTGGATCACAAAGTCACCACACAATCCGAGCACAGGGTCAAGGCCACACGGCCAGTTCACATGCAAGAGTACACACATATATATAAAGCTAGACAAGCAAGAGCAGGTATATATATATATGAGAGTACAAGCAAGGTCAAGAGGAGAGCAAGTGAGGCAAGACGGGCACAAGACCCAGCTGAGTGCAGAAGCGCTGATGATCACAAGGCGGAAGTGCCTTGGTGAAGACATCAGCAGTGTTGGCCTCAGAGGCCACGTACGCAAGCCGCAACTGTCCACGTTGCTGTAGCTCACGAGCAAGGAAGTAGCGGAGAGCAATGTGCTTTGTTCTGTGCTCCAGTCGCTGCTCTCGACACAAGGCCAGCATGGCCTTGTTGTCTACGTACAGGACTGGAGGAGAACGAGGCGGCTCTCCAAGGTCGGTCAGCAGGTAGGTGAGCCAGCAAAGCTCCTGTGCAGCCATGGCCCCGGCGTAGATCTCAGCCTCACAACTCGAGCCAAGAGCAGAAGACGAGCGAGTAGCCCGCCACGAAACAGAGCCGGAACCAA